CCAGTAAATGGATCGGTTGCCTTGACACAAATGAAGTTCAGTCTCAGAAATTAAATGGAATGATTATTCACTGAGGTCGAGAATCCCAGACAGACTCTAAAGACTAAAGCGGCAGCATCTTCACTGACAGCACCATTTACTCCACAACACTTAAAGAAACAGATCACAAAAATGGATAGTGTCGTTCCAAACTGGATGCTGTCAAACTCCAAAAAGGACAAGAAATGTGATTAAAATGGACCAAGATATGAAGAGTTTGGTTCCAAAACACCATTTAAAAAAAAATGTAGTTTCTGCCAAAATCAGCATTGTATCTGGTCGGTATTGAAAAGTCAATTTTTAATTTTACGCAAAATCGATATCCACCGAGTTATTCTGTCATGTTTTCTCTCTTTTTTTCCAAACCGCGACAAACGCCAGTCTCCCTTCTCTGCAGAATGCGATATATCCGCTCAACCAATCACAACGCACCATTCCACGCACTGTAAATAGTAACAACCAATCACAGCACACCATTCCACGCACTCTAGACAGTATTGGCGGCGCTTTGAATACATCCGGCATCCTAGTTTGACTCATCTATTTTGTACTTTGTGATCAACAAACAAACTTAGGGCTGCACGATAAATCGCATGCGATCTCCATCACGTGCTTTCAGATGGAGCGGCATTTACTACACAGAGCCGTAGATCACTGCAATATCGCGTTCATAATCGCAGATGACTCACATTCGATTATGAACACGATATTGCGTAGCTTGTCAGTGTAAGTGTTTTTATTAATGCCATTAATGTTTTTGTTAATACAGCGTATAGCAAAAACACACTCACATTAGCTTCAGAAAATAAAAAAAGAAATGTTTTTTGTTTTGTGCTTTTACTTTCAAATTTGTAAGATGAACATTCACATGCACATCCTGCAACATATTTGAGATTTCTGCAGCTTAACAGCAGCAGGATTGACACGAGTCAATATTATATGAATATTTTTTCCCTACGAGTAGAATGATGTATACTCACTACATGCATGTATGGAAAATTGCTCTATCATGCTGTTTTAGAACACAGTAAGCATCCCGTTGAGTGTCTTACTCTCTTGTCCATTTACATAAACTCGGCACACGTCCAAAGTGTCCAAAGTAAATGGAGACTGTGAGACACTGCGTCCCGTACCTGTCCTCTGAGAGCATCACCTAATGATGACGTCTTTGCCTGTCCTTCCCATCTGCTCCTCGAAAACCAACACCAATGCAGCAGAACTATGCCATCATCACGCCAGGAGCCAAACAAGCTTTATGACTGGATGCTAAACCATGCATGCCATGCACTTAAATCAGCTGGATAGAGAGAGAGTTTAAGAAATATTTGAATGAATGAGTGAATGAGGACTATACAAAAGATCAACCAGAATGGCATATTACAATACTCGGACAGTGTTTACTGCAGTGCTGAATCTACAATAAATCAATGCTGAGTGCCATTTGAATCGATCTAATGATTCATTCACTGATTGAATCATTCAGAGTGGTTCTTCCCTCATTCAAAATAAATAAAAAACTATTATGTTGAACTTAAGACTTAAATCAATATGGCAACAGACAGGGTGTTCTTTTGACAAGATATACATTCAGAAGAGAGCTTTGATGGTACTTTTAAAAATTAAATTAAATGAACCAAAATCTAATTTTTTTTTGTTTTTTTTTGTTTTTGTTTTTAGAAGAGAGCTTTGATGGTACTTGATGGTACTAACCATCAGTGCACAATTTTCCACACCACAATCTGTCAAGCACATCTTACCAGCAAACATACACTCGTTCACTTCCTTCTCTTCACTCTCTGAGGCAGAAGTCTCCAAACTCATCCTTTCTAATCATCCTACTACTTGTCCGCTTGATCCTATTCCATCTCATCTCCTTCAAGCCATTTCTCCTGCAGTTGTACCTGCACTCACTCACATTATTAACACATCCCTTCACACTGGTGTTTTTCCATCAGCATTTAGACAGGCTCGTATAACCCCACTACTTAAGAAACCCACCCTTAACCCCTGCTAAATGTCTAAATGTAAATGTAAATGTACTTAAAATAAAATAAAATAAAAACTCTGCAACCAAAATGTTTTTTTAGAGGAAAGCTTACTTTTTAACATAAATTAAAGAAATAAATACTTCTTTAAAATTAATAATAAAAAATAAAAAAATTAATTAAAATAAATTATGCAACCTAATTATTTTTTTTTTGGACTAAAAGAATCATCATTACAGTATTAGAATCATTAAGCAGAATATAAATTGGAAACAGAATCATAAAATTCCTCGGTTCCCATCTGTAGCTGTATTTTGAGTGTGTGTGTGTGTGGTAACACCACATCAGCAGCTGTGACAGCAGTGAAGTTACAGATCTATCAAACGCTCAGTAAAGATTAATGCTTTATTCAACGAGGCCAAACAGGGTGTGAAATGAGTAGAAGCAAGCAGGTGTACAAAATGAAAATGCGCACAAACACACACACACACACTCTAAAGAAAACATACTCTAACCTTGACAACCGCACATGCATTATGGTGCCAACGGGTTTTTATTGTTTCATGTAGGGATGCACCGATACCACTTTTTCCAGTACTCGCCCGATACCGATACTTTTAGGTTTTGTACTTGCCGATACCGAGTACCGATACCGATATTTTTATTGCATTTGTACATTTTTTAAATATTGGTAGTGAATGCCCCTATGAATGTTTTTATTTTTACGATTTAGTTTTAATCCAAATGATGCATGTGCTAAGAGAGTGAACATCAAAGATCACACAACAGAAGTGCACACGCTCTCTCTCTCTCTCTCTCTCTCTCCCTCCCTACCGTTAAGTAACTTGTGCATTGTTTTACTTACTTGTTTTTGACATATCCGACCGAACTACAAACTTTCCAGTGATGTCTGTGAGAAAGGGATATTAACTCGAAAAGCTGCCGCGCACTCAACCCACTCTGCGTGCTTTGCTTATCAGCTCGCACACGTCAGCTATACAGGCGTTAATACTGAATTTTAACATTATATTCATTGCATACATATATTTCGTAGACATCCTTAATCTCTAATAACCATTCTGCTGTCTGTTGTTGGTGTTTCTTTGTCTAAATACGGCACTTATCGCATGCTGTGTGGTATCAGCGTTTGGTATCGGGGCATTTTAACGAGTACGAGTACAAGTACAGGAGCTCAGTATCGGGCCCCATACTGATACCAGTATCGGTATCGGTGCATCCCTAGTTTCATGTCAACTCGCTTAGTTTAATGACTGACGGCTTTTTATGAGATGCGTTTCTGCACTTTACCTTGCACAACTTACACACACATTACAATAAACCAGAAGCAGACACACATTCATCTCTCTCACAAACACCTCAACAGCTTCTGCAGACTTCAAAACATCAGCGTCCATCACAACGATCAGCTTCTGAGAGAGATGCAAGCCTCATATTCACCCAAACACCAAACAAAATCAAATCTTCAAAATCATGATCATGAAACCCATCAACAACACTTCAAGGTCATATTTCACATCAAAATAAAATGAATAATAATAATAGACAAAAAAAATATTGATTTCAGCCAGGATCATTCAATTTGTGAGAATTGTGACATTATTTTCATGACAAATCGGCCTCAAATTCTTATTACTACAACACATAAATATAAATTAATACTGCCTATAATGAACAAACATTTAAATAAAATTCAATAGAATTTCTCATTTTTGTACTTATTTCAGTGCATCTAATGTGCCTAATAGATCTTATTAACATTAAAAAACAACCTAAAATATTTAATAATATTTATATTTTATATGTGCTTAAATATGTAAATCAATAAATACATAAATAAAATTAAACTATGCAACCTTTTGTTTTTTTTTAATAAAAATGATAATTTTACCCAATATTTTCAATATTATAATTTTCTAATGGTTTATCATGTTGACTTTAAAGGCAGTACAACAAATACAACCATGAAATATAAAATTTAAAGAATACATCATCAAATTACAGCAAGGAAAATTTGATGTCCTTGCATTACTGTGAGAATTGTGTTTAATTGTCATGAAAATAATGTCACAATGCAAAACCTTAATGGTCAAAAATGTCTTGTTTCTTTCTCTTGTGCTTCTTTCCCGTTTCAGTGTGAAATACAATGTGTTTTTGTGAGATTCATCTGACTGACAGAGAAGCGGGAAAGATCAGGTGATCAGTCGGACCAGTCTGAGGAATGTGGAACTGATGCTAAAGACAGAAGCCAGCCAACATACACACACACACACACACACACACACACACTCAACAGCTGCCCGACGTATCTGCTTCCTTAAGGAGCAACAGGAGAAAGAATGTGCCTCCTGATAATGAGCTCTGTCACAATCTACATCTCACACACACACACACACTCTTAAAGCGGTGGCGATGTCTTCCCATGAGTCTCTGCTCCGCTTCATTCCAGCGGTCAAGCGTCAGTCACCGCCTCAGGAATCACAGGACGACCCTGGTACTTTGTGTTCTGCTGGTTAATGCATTGACTGCTCTTACCTGCCACTGAGTTCGGCCGAGGCATCATCAGACTGGACGAGTTCTGCATGGGATACTGGACGGGTCCCTCAGACCCTGTGGCTCCTGAAGTCTTCTTAGCAGTAGAGATGCTCCGTACCCCAGTCCCGGATGCTGACGCTTCCTCCTCGGCCACCGGAGAGCACGTGTCTTGCCGCACATGTTGAGCGCAGCTCCTTATGCTGCCCTCTTTACCCCACTCCAGACTGGAGCCGCTGCGGTCGTCATTCTCTGATGAGCTGGTGATGGTGGCTGGACGAGAGGAAACTATATTACTGACACACTGTGTGCATATGATTCTGATTCATTCATTTAAATTGATTCTATTCAATTCAAATCAACAGTGCAGACTACATTTCTGACAAACAATGTCACAAGTCTTTCACAATCTTGACTAGTTAGAGATACAACATATACTCTCTATTTTGGATTTATTCTTGACATGTAAATAACATAAAGCAGTCCTGAAGTCCATGCTATAAATGATCTAGCAAAAGCAGATTAAATAAATAAATAATTTTTTTATATATATATATATATAAATTATATATATATTTGATAAACAGCTAATTTCTCATGTAGTTTAACTTTAGTTTATGTACTAAAATAAGTAAAACTGAAATTACAAGTAATAAAAATTATATAGACGTACATAAAAAAAAACTATAACTATTAAAAATGACAAAAACAAATTACTAAAACTTTATCTAAAATTAAAATGAAACTTAACTTTAAGTGAAATAAAATCAAATATAAAAAAAATTATTTCAGCTAGTTTAACTTTAGTTTATGTACTAATACAGCGAAAACTGAAATAAAATTAATAAGAATTATATAGACATACTTTAAAAATATTTGAAAAATAAAAATATTAATAACAACTGTAATAGTATATAATTGTGTATATAGATATATCTTGTCATGGCAGCCAGTCAAAATTAAATAAATAATTATTAAAAAACAAACAAACAAATGACATATATATATATATATATATATATATAGTACCAGTGCTAATCTGCAGCATTGGAGGAGACCTACAAATAATATAAAGTGAAAATCTTCACACAACCCCTCAAAGAGGCAGAGATGAAGACTGGCTAACAGGAAAACGTGTAAAAGAAAACGTCAGAAAAAGAAAGATCACGGCTTCTGAAGTCAATCTCAGATGAGCATCATTACCACTCATAAATTCTGATGAGTCACTGACCTTATCAACACTTTCACCTGATCGCCGTTTCACGCTGCTAATGAGCACCAACCTCAACAACAAACTACCCATTACAAACACGCTGCTCACTCTGCATCAGGATGGATGTTTGTGTGGATCAGTGTTTGCTATCGCTGCTAATAACTCTGCCTTTTTTCATTCGAATTAAAAGATAAATAAACAAACAATGAGAGTGAGAGTGTGTGCATTCATGCACGTGTGTTTGTTCACTGATCTGAGGGGGGCGGATGAATCTCTGGGTTTAGTTTCAGCTCCTGACTTTATTACTAAATAACATGCGTGACAACAGCTGCATGTGCCATGTGTCAGTGCTCGCACATGCACGCACACACACACACACACACACACACACACACGCTTATACAGTCGGCTCCAAACATCTGAGAGGGCTGGTGAAGATGATCTCCATTTTGAGTGACAAGTGAATCTGAATGTGAAAATGTGTCAGTATTTGGTCTCTTCTGCTGTAATGACAGCAGCACTGAAGCTATATGAACTAAACCTGATGATCACGTTCTCCAGCATGATTTCAGATGATCCAAAGAGCATCAATAACATCTGGCTCTACAAAGTCACATGATCAATGACACTCATTTACTTACACATACAACTAGGGAACAGTCTTGGGTTCCCAAACCTTTTGACCAATGAAACTCCATGACTGAATTGCTGGAACATATTTTTTTTGATGATTTTTCACAAACTTACATGTTGGGTGAGTACATTTATAAATTAATAAATAACTAAATAAATAGAGCACAATCTTTGGATTGCTGGAAATTATTTTTTGAATTGCTGGAAATTATTTGACAATTCTTTACAAATTAATTTTTTTTTAATTATTTTATAGACACTGCACTCACAAAAAATAATTCTAACCAATATACTAGAAAAAAATCATATGCACTAAATACTTATACTGACAAAAAATGTATAGCCTGAATGCACTGTAAGTCGCTTTGGATAAAAGCGTCTGCTAAATGCATACATAAATAAATAAATAATAAATAAATAAACAAATCAATCAATCAATCAATCCAAACAATCTCGGTTTCCCAAACTTTGTGACCAATGAAACTCCATGACTGGATTGCTGGAATTATTTGTTGTTAATTTTCCACTAAATAAATAAATAAATACATAAAATGCCATAAATGAAAGAAAGAAAGAAAGAAAGAAAGAAAGAAAGAAAGAAAGAAAAAGAAAAATCTCCAAAATTTGAAAGAAAGAAAGAAAGAAAGAAAGAAAGAAAAAGAAAAATCACAATTTTGGATTGCTGGAAATAATTTTTGACTATTCAAAATTCAATTTTTTTAAATAATTTTAGACACTGCATTCACAAAAAGCAATTCTAACCAACATACTAGAAACATAGAAAAGAAAATATAGAAAATATAAAAAACAAGCAAACAAATACATGGGTTCCCAAAAATTGTGACCAATGAAACTCCATGACTGGACCGCTGGAAATTATTTTTGACGATTGTTCAAAAAAATCTTTTATAGATACTGCACTCACAAAAAGCAATTCTAACAAATGAAATACTGAATACTAGAAACAATTACATGCACTATAGAAATTGCTATAACTTTTTAGGTTTGCTTTTATTTCCCTGATTTTTCCAGGCATTCTTAAAAGTCCAGGGTTTTCATGACTATGAGAACCCATTAAACATTTCTTCTTCATTGTTGAAATGTTTAAAAATCCTCAAACACTGCTTCTTTCTGGGTTTCAATAAAAGAGAAGCAGCCAGATGTTCAATGTGGTGTCAGATGTGCCGAGCTCACAGTATCCATGCACACGTGTCTCAGTGACTGCATCTAAACAGCTGTTCACACTCTTTCTGAACTGAATGTTTTCCTTTTCTTTCTGCTCATTCTTCACAAACTGAGTGGGTCACACAGGCCAAACACGCTCCTCTACATCAAAGCAACATGTTCCCCACTGAAAAAAATGATCGTGATTTTAACGGTAAAAGACCGTAAAAATGCTACAGTAAAAGCCTATTAACTGGTTAACGGTAAGTTCCCCTACTGTATACGGTGAAAAACAGATTTCTGAACTTCAGAAATCAGTATAATAACATTAAATCAGTTGTATCAATGAAATACGATTTTTAAATGTAAATTTAAATTAAATTCATTAACCAAAAATGCTGCTACCGTATTTTTTTACGGTAAAATTCTGGCCGTAAATTTTACTGAATTTTTTCAGCAAGTCTGCGGCTTTCTCTCATCCTAAAACTCTGTGTAAAGAGCAAATGACACTGACAACAGGACTAATGCATCAAACACCAGCAGAACCAATTTCTGTGTAACCCGTTCACAAAACAATTCTTGCAAGGATGGATTTTACAAACAATTTACACCGAAATTCGCCATGCTTCTTATGTGTACTACATCTAAAGGACAAAATAAACTCATCGCAAGCCAAATGCTTGCTTGGCTATAATTCAGGGTCAGATGCCCCTTTCTAACTACAACTTTGTGGTAATAACACATATTCTCCAATATTTTCTCAGAAACTAGGACTGCCAGCCTGTATGGTGCATAATTCATAGAGAAATGTTTAATCTTTCGATCTGCAACCGAAAAAAATGCAGAGCGGAGCTCAAAACTGACTTTCTGAAGCAGCCAAGCTGCATCAACACCTCGTCCTGCGAAACCCCCCACGTTTGGATCTGCAGGCCAACATGAGCTGAGATTTCAGCTCGCTCTCATTCTCCACAAAATGAAGCAGAGCTTGTGGAGCACAGGATGATGGGAAGGGGTTTTAATGGGGTGATGAAAATCCAAAACTGGTGATGGTGGGCCAGCTTTTCAGTTATTGGGTGACATAGAAATGCTCAGGTCATATGTTACTGAAAATCTAAATATAAGCATATTTTCCTCACAGATTCTTATTACCATAATGTGCAACAATCTCATTCCCATTCATTTAATGTCAAAAATCTAATAAAATCTAAATCAGTCTGGACACACTTTTTAAATTCATTTTTTTATAATAGCTTTTAGAATAATTTTGTTTTTTTATAAATATTTTATTTGTATATTTTCCATTTTCATTATAATTTTAGTTAGAGTTTTAGTAATTTTATTGTGTTTTTGCTATTTTTAGTAGTTTTAGTATATGTCTATATAGTTTTTATAAATGTTTATTTTAGTTATTTTCAAGTTAAACTAAATAAAAATCAGAAATGTTGCCTTGGCAACTAGCTGAAATAAAAAGTTTTTTATATTTGATTTCAGTTAATGTTTATTTTATTTCAAGAAACGGAAACCTTTTTATGGTTTTAGTTTTAGTTAACTATAATAGTCCTGGTCCCGACTGGATGATGGTCATTTAACTAGATTTTACAGTGCTGAGATTCTTTTTCATTATGCTAATGAGTATTTGCGGGGAAGATGTTGATTTTGAGTTCGTGTGTGTGTGTGTCTCACCGATGATACCGCTGTCTTTGCTCTCGAGGGTGGAGCTGGGGCTGATGATGGTTCCACAGACAGGACGGCCGCTGTTACTGTTTAAGGTGGAGCAGGGACTGTCCGTACATGGAGACGCCGTGCTGCTGGTCAGAGTAGAACATGGACTGATTCCCTGATTCACTGGACACTGCAGAGAGACAACAGAGAGACACACTGATGTGCTTCAGCAGAAATAATCCAAACACTGTTATCTGGATTATATGAAGGGGCAGAAGAGAGATGAGAGAGAGAGAAAAGGATTGTACCGCCAATGTTGAGTTTAATGCACAACAGCTAAATCAATGCCAGAGTCTGAGGTTTCTCTTCATTCAAATAAAACCCACCAGCAGAAATAAACAACTAATGAAGCAAAAGGCCTTGACATGCCACCAGAACCTCATCCAAAGACCTTTCACATGCCTCAAGCCAGAACTTCACAGAATACCTACAGAAAACCACCTATTAGTATCTATATTCAAAATCTCAATAAACTTACTGACATGACGTAGAGTCACAAGGGTTTACAGTGCTTCTCTATGTCATTTCCTGTTTCAAATGTTTCCTGTCACATTACAACAAAACTGCTTTCTATAATTAATGGCATGCTAATTATTAATATTTAGATATAAAACTGATTCATTGTCAGTAATTATATTATTATAATAAATATATAAAATATTATTATTTTTATTACCATTAAATATTATGGCAAAGTATTTCAGCTTTTAAATGTAAAAAAAATATTTTTTCTTTATTAATTAATCTCCAGTAAAGATTTTCAGACATTTTTGTCTTTAAGACCCCAAAAAAATTGTTCAGAAACTTACTGTCTTGACATACAGTCATGAGGGTCCTCTTCTGTGCCATTTCTTGTTTTAAGGTTTTCATCACATGACAACAAAATGACTTCCTCCATGGTAATTATACCACACTGATATTTAAATATAAAACCGTTTTATTGTTTTTAATTATAATAATATAATATATAAATAATGATAATATTTAGATAATTTAGATAACAACAACAATTATTATTATTATTATTTCTACTATTTTTTCCCTTCTCGAGAGTCTCTCGGTCACCATCTGGGACTCAACCACAACCTTGGGAGTTCCTCTCTAAGAGAGTACTTTGTGTAGGATGTGTGCGGTCCCACAAAACACGATCTGTGCTTCAAAGACACTTGGCTTCCCTGGGATCTGATCCAGATATCGGTGTGAACCTTTCTTCATGCATCTCAGGGCTCCTATCACAACTGGCACTATCTTTGTTCTTGTGTTCCTCTTGTACTTGGTGAGCTCGTCGTTCTCTTTCTCCACTGGTATCACGACATCAATGAGCAGGCACATCTTGTCCTTCTCGTTGTGGACAATGATATCCGGGTGGTTTACACTGATGGTCAAGTCGGTAAACACACCCTTGTCCCTCATGATGGTACAGTCGTTGTTGTTCACTGCTGGTTGTGGGACATTCTCATTCCACTTGTCGGGTACTTCAACACCAAGTTCCTTGCAAATCATCCGATGGATATAGCTTGCAACTTTATGTCACTCCATATAGTCTGTGCCAGAAAGTGTGGAGCCACCAGAAATTGTGTGACTGACTGTTTACTCAGTTATTCCACACATTCTACATCTACCGTCGTACCTGGTGTTAAGTGCTTGATCCTGGGCAGCGATGATCAGACTGGCTTCCTTGTCTACAAACGGCTCATTCAGATATTTGAAGAACTTACCGTGGAGAGCCTTCTCCTTCACACACTCGATCCGATCTCGTTCGATATTCTCTCTCAGTGCTCGACCTTCATCCAGAGAACTCCAGCTTGGCTTTCCGCCCACCGTTTTAGCGCTCTCTGGATGATCCTCGTGCCTGGGAAGGCCATGGCCACAGCCATATCACCCTGTAGCCCAAGACCGGTTGCCCAATGAAGCTAAGCAGGGTTGAGCCTGGTCAGGAGACCTGGATGGGAGACCTCCTGGGAAAACTAGGTGCTGCTGGAAGAGGTGTTAGTGACGCCAGCAGAGGGTGCTGCTCACCCTGTGGTCTGTGTGGGTCCTAACGCCCCAGTATAGTCACGGGGACACTATACTGTAAAAAACACTGTCCTTCTGATGGTCCTGACTCTCTGTGTGGTCACTAAAAATCCCATGGCACTTCTCGTAAAGAGTATGGGTGTAACCCCGGTGTCCTGGCGGAATTCGCTCCACTGGCCCTTGTCAATCATGGTCTCCCTAATAATCCCCATCCACTGAATTGGCTCTGTCTCTCTCTCCTCTCCACCTGTAGCTGGTGTGTGGTGAGCGCACTGGCGCCGTTGCTCTGAGGCTGCCGTCGCACCATCCAAGTGGATGCTGCACACTGGTGGTGGTTGAGGAGAGACCCCTCATATGATTGTAACATGATTTGGGTGTACAACAGTACACATATAGTGCTATATAAATCCCTCATTCATTCATTCATAGTGTTTGCAGATCTCATTCGCCGTCTTCTTCAGGGCATACTTGGTTTTGCTGGCTTCATGCTTCTTCACCATACTCATGAGCAGTGTTGGGGAAAGTTACTTTTAAAAGTAATGCATTACAATATTGCATTACTTCATAAAAAAGTAATTAATTACGTTACTTAGTTACTTTTTATGGTAAGTAATGCATTACGTTACTTTTGCGTTACTTTTTCTCATCTGCCTTGGCCTCGTTTTTCTCTCTTCAGAAACAACAACAACAAAAAAAGAAACACAAATGGTATGTTTATCTAAAGTCATTTTTGCTTATTAGTATGGTTGATCATCGAAAGTCAGCAGCAGCATTAATAAAATGGAATTAAATACATAAATGATATTTGTGTTATTTAACATGTTTGCGTCATGTCCTGAGTTTGCATTTGACGGTTTTTATTCATTTTGAGGAATACTGAATCTGTTTTTGTGTGAGTGAAATGAGTAAATGCATGTTGACATTGAGTCTAGAGCTACAGTAACATCATGTTCACACAGCCTCTGCACACAACGCCTCTGCATTCGCTCCTGATTTCTCTCAACATGAGAACAGGAGAGCTGTCAGTCAATACATGGGAAACAGTAACTCAGAAAAAGTAACTCAGATATTTTCTTGTAAATTAAAAAGTAATGCATTACTTTACTAGTTACTTGAAAAAAGTAATCTGATTACGTAACCCGCGTTTCCTGGTAATACATTACCCCCAACACTGTTCATGAGCTTGTCACTATCTCGCTCAATGTATTTGCTAAGGCCGACGATGGCGATGTTGTACGCAGACTCCAGCTCAATAAGCCTGCTTCCACCATCGCGTCTCTTGATGTACAATCGGTCTGTGTCTGCTTTCGGATGGTGCATGCCGTGCATCGTTAGCAATTTCCTTGTCTTTCCATCTTCCTGATCTCCTCTACTCTCCAATCCATCGTGCCGAAGCTGTATGTAGGGACAGGGACTGCTAAACTGTTGATAGCACTGATCTTGTTCTTGGCATTGAGCTTGCTCCTAAGTGCCAGACAGACTCGGCAGTAATACTCCTTGGTGATCTTACTCTTCATCTCATTGTGCTGAATACCATCGCCTTCGTCGATGCCTAGGTACTTGTACACTTTGTCCTGCTCGAGGTTCTTGATGGACGAACCTCTGCTCAGCTGGATGTTGTGGCTATTGACTCATACGTCTCTCATGTAGACAACAGTTGCGCATTTGTCTTGTCCAAACTCCAATCGGATGTCGTCACTGAACGTCTTGATAATGTGCATTACCTGCTTGAGCTGCTTCTCGTCTCTACCGAAGATCTTGAGGTCGTCCATGTAGAACAGATGGCTCATGATGTTCTTGTCGTCGACTGCATATCCCATACCTTGACAGTTCAACATTTATTAATAATAATAATAATTATTATTATTATTATTATGATATTTAAATATAAAACTGTTTCACTGTAATTAATTATATTAGTACTACTAAGTATTTCAGCGTTTAAATGGTAATGATTTGAAATTTACACCCACTAGACATTTTTGACTTTAAAATCAAATCAAAAATATCAACATTTTAAGAAACTTACTGACCCAACATTCAATCATGAGGGTCCACAGCGGTCCTCGATGTAATTTCTTGCTTAAAGTGTTTCTTGTCACATAACAACAAAATAGCTTCCTGCATGTTGATTACACCACACTGTGATATTAAATTTTTATATCTGAATATAGAACTGCTAAACTATTATTATTATTATTATTATTATTATTAATAATAATAATGCATTTAAATATACAACTATTTCACTGTTTATTATTATTATTATTAATACACATTTAAACATAAAAGTATTCTATGGTTTATGATGATGATTATTATAATTATTATGCCAATAATTATGCCATTTTTTTCAAGTATTTCAGCTTTTAAATGTTCATTATTTTTTGACACTCAGACATAGACATTTTTGACATCAAAACCTCCCAAAAATATCATAATTAATTTCAATTCAGACTTTGAAAACAGGTGCTTTCATTTCACTGTCTGGGTGAATTTATTTCTGAACACGTTTTTGAATAACATAACAGGTCTAGACAAAATAAAATGAAATACCATCACGTTATTGACTGTTCAACAGCCTGAATTAAGCAGATTGTTTACATCCTTTTCTCTTAGACCCCAAACACCAGCAGCCCCTCTGAGTCATCGCTGGACTGTGAGTCAGTCAAGGTCACAAAACCAGATGAAAGTTCCTTTAAAACAAACTTCCAGCTGGCAGCCTGATGAAACAGATTAAAGACCTTCACCGAATCCCACTGGACAACATCATCCAAGAACACACGACGCAGATCATTACCAATTCTTTAAAAGACGCACATTGTTGCTTCCCTCTTCATGCAATTCCCACAGGCACTCAGAGCGACGAAGCATTATGATTTATTACACAAAAGCATTGCACACGAAGGGCGTTCGGACCACAGCCTCAGCTTAATTATCTCATCATCTGAAACCCTGACAGAACAAAACTATTTCTGGAGCAGACCTCAAGTTAACATGACTCAAGTTTCTGGTCGCCGGCTCTGCAGCGGTTCAGAGCGAACGGGAATGACTTACTGTGGTGGCACACAGACACACTCCTCATCACGTCTCACACTGACAGACGGCAAACACACGGCTTTAATCCTTGAGGTTTTCTCCCGTCTGTCTCGCTCTCTCACTCTGGCAGCGGCTGCGGAAAATACCTTTTTTTCATTCTTGTCATCCATAGGTATGCGCGTGGAGCCCGGGATGCCTTCACCCAGCAAGAACCCCAAGCGTGTCATCAACTCCTGAGTGGCGGGGGAGGGGCCTGGAGAGAGAGAGAGAGAGAGAGAGAGAGAGAGAGAGAGAGACCTTACAGGATCTGCGCAGATACACACCAGCGACTGCAACACATTCATTCACAGCCATTCACTGGAACAAGCACAAGATGGGAGTCACAAGGAATGTCATGATTCAGAACTCAAACTGACTATGTGCTTCTGACTAGAACAGAATCGAATACAATAGTTTTAGTCATTGTTTTTGAAACAACAAAAGGCTGTTTAGCAGCTCACAAGGTTTGGCATAATACAAAAAAAGTATAGATACAAATAGAGATATTAAACTCTAAACTCCAGAAGGTAATAGTGCAAAATATCGTACTATAAAATATATACAATGGTTTGTGCCAGACAGAGTACTTTGTCGAAATAAAAAATGTAGTGCTGAGAACAATATACATAATATGTGTATACTAAATGTTAAGGATAGCAAGATATACAGTATACAGGTTCATCTCAAAAAATTAGAATATCATGAAAAAGGTCAATATTTTTTGTCACTCATTTCAGAAAGTGAAACCCATATATAGATTCATTACACATAGAGTGAAATATTTCAAGCCTTTATTGACACCATGACTTTCCAATATTGAACTTTTTCACAATATTCTAATTTTCTGAGACACTGAATTTTGGGTTTTCATTATCTGTAAGCCATAATCATCAAAATTTCAAGAAATAAAGGCTTGAAATATTTCACTCTATGTGTAATGAATCTATATAATATATGGGTTTCACTTTCTGAAATGAGTGACAAAATATATTGACCTTTTTCATGATATTCTAATTTTTTGAGATGCACCTGTATGTACATATATACACACACACCCTCACACACATACACACATACTGTGTATATATATATATATATATATACATACATTCTATTTGTACAGACTATTCTTACTATTTAAATTTAAACCATTGATTCTGGCCAAAATATCCATAATCCATAATAACGCTTCTTCCAGTGAAAAAGATACACTGTTTACAATCCAATAATTTCCTGACAAATAAAATCACGTCCTATATCACATTTTCCAATTAAATTACAATGAATGAGAAAGTAAAAAGTGCAACGCGGAAGAGAACCGAATCCGGTAACAACATGCTGTCATCTTGTGAAGCCAAAATCTGCATGTTTGTAAGAAACAAATCCATCATTAAGGTATTTTAACTTGAAACAGTCACTTCTGGCCAAAATATGAGTCCATAATCCATAATAACGCTTCCTCGAGTGAAAAAGTCCATCTCCTGTTGTCTCTCACATCAAAATCCACACACGTATTTCTGTAGAACTGTTTTAGACTGTTTCAGTTTGTAAACAGTGCTTGATCTGTGTAGATTTCTCTCCTGATTCAGATAAGATTATTTTTTCATTGGAGAAAGCAATATTTTGGATTGAGGACTCATATTTTAGCCGGAAGCAATGGTTTGATGTTAAAAATGCCTCAATGATTTGTTTCATCATTTTGTTTTCAAATTTGTACAGACACACAGCTTTTGTCTTCTCCAGATGTTAACGGATGGACTGGAGTGGTGTGGATTACTTGTGGATTATTGTGATGTTTTTATCAGCTGTTTGGACTCTCATTCTGACGGCACCCATTCACTCCAATGGTGAGCAAGTGAGGAATGCTACATTTCTCCAAATCTCATGAAGAAACAAACTCATCTATATCTGGGATGGCCTGAGGGTGAGTACATTTTCAGCAAAATTTCATTTTTGGGTGAACTATTGCTTTAACAGTTAGAAACACTGATGAACAAAACAAAACAGTGCAAAAATATGAAAGATAAAAGTGAAAGTCTCTATAGAGAGTTTATGAGCAAATAATGACTCAAATGTTCCTCAAACAACTCATATGACTTAGAAAAGTAACACTGTAGCACAGAAAAAGATAAAATGCATGCATGAAGATAAAAAAGCAACATGAGGGTGAGTAAATAGACAAAATTGACAAAAAAACTATTTCTTCAGTCTGTATGGAGTGAAAGCAGGTATGAATATGTGATCATGAGAATGAACAGATGAAGGGGAGTTTATTATTAATTTCCATTTTCTCATTACTCTTTCATCTCTCTCATCTCAGTGCCACACATATTAATAACAAGCATTCCTGTAGATTCAGAGCGCTCACACAAAACTCTCTCCCAGCACACAAGTTTGGATCTAAAAGGGACTCAAAATAAATTTTTGAAAATTTGATTCCAAAATCTGAAAGCTAATTCACATTCACAAACAAAAGCTAATTTTTATTTATTTAAACACATATCTGATTGGCTAAAGAGAATGTATAAAAAACACAAACTTGTAAATCTGTGCCTGGCAGGAAAGTCTGCAAATAGGCACATAAATTCACAGTGATCAACGGTTTGCAAATACACATTCAACAATCAGTTGATACACATACAAACATTCAGAAATGTGCAAACATACTTGGATATTCATGAATTGTTTTTGCATTTGAGGATATTTGGCCTGAGATTCATTTCACAAAATACAAGGTATTTCAGTCCTTTAGACGCCTTGAATGGGGAGATCGATTCACTTTGGAGGGAAAGCAGCACTTGTGATACTAAGGCCTGCCACACTAGACAATTTTCAAATGTTAAAACTGTGGGAGACCACAGACATAATGACAGTTTCAACCGATTTTTAGCCTTATAATCCTCTGAATGCACAATCTAGAGGATCCGGCAGGACCGCGAGACCACACACCTGTCGATTGTAGGAATGATTTCACAGTGACTCGCGAGATCAAACGTGATTTAAGAAGAAAAACACATGGAGGACAATCGACATTGTCAGCTGGCTCTCCTGGCGCTAATTTCTGTTGTACAGTGAAAAACAAAAGAGAAAAAAAGAATATGGGTGATATTCTTTCTCAATACTCCACTGTCAGGTTTCAGCTATAGAAGCACACAACATCCGGTAGGTGACGCTTGCTCGCTCTCATTGGCTATCGCAGGGATCACGTTAGAGGCAGCCCCATCAAGAGTCGTAAATTTCAAACATGTTTGATATTTATGATTTGGGATCATGGAGGCTCTGATGCGATCGGGCGCAGTAAAATAATTGTAATGACACCACACAATTGAGGATGTTTTGGACAAAAAGTTGGTTGAGACAAGCCTTGAATCGGGCCTCACCCTCACGATCATTGATGGGTGCAAATCGGGCTCAAAATCGGGTGTAGCCAGCCTAAGATATCCAAAACATGCAACTACCTGACTGCATTTACATGTATAGTTATTAGATAATTAAGTCAAATGGCATTTAATCATGAAAATAATCTGATTGTTTAGAAAACATTGAATCAAATCTGATCGAAAGATAAAACCACAACCAATTTCAGTAATTTCTAGTCATATTTAGTCTTTCTAACATAACTAAACTACCGTCCAAAAGTTTGGGGTGAGTAAGATTTTTTTTTTTTTTTTGAGAAAGAAATTGATATTTTTATTCAGTAAGGATGAATTAAACTGGTCAAAAGTGACAGTAAAGACATTTATAATGTTACAAAAGTTTTCTATTTCAAATATATGCTGTTTTTAAGCTTTCTATTCATCAAAGAATCCTGAAAAATAAAATGTATCACAGTTTCCACAAAAATATGAAGCAGCACAACTGTTTTCAACATTGATAATAATCAGAAATGTTTCTTGAGCAGCAAATCAGCATATTAGAATGATTTCTGAAGAATCATGTGACACTTGGTTAAAAGTGGATGATCTTAGCCCTTTCACGGAATTGGTACCGACAGACTATGACTTTTTAAACTCTCCTCGTACCACAGGATGAGGTGGAGGCCTGGCTACGGTTTTTAAGACAATTTGTCTGCCGAAGTGTGAAATGGGACACTTTTTCCAGTTTCAAGATGATGTTGATGCAAATAGACGCACAAATTCCGGTGCTATGTGTGGTGATATATCGGCCTCCAAAAGAAAATAAGAATTTTATTTCGGATTTTACAGAATTTTTAGGAGGAATTAGGACGAAGTATGACAGACTTTTGATCCTCTGGGATTTTAATATTCACGTCTGCTGTCCATCTGATATATTGGCAAGAGACTTTTTAAATGTTTTTGAATCATTCAATTTAGTTCAGCATGTAAATGGTCAGACGCATAAATATGGTCATACTTTGGATCTTGTTTTTACTTATGGGTTGACTGTCAGGGACCTTGAAATTATTGATACTGGTTTTTATGACCACAAATCTGTGATTTGTAATATTTCTTTTTTATGTTCTGAAAGGAAACCAGGGTTTCCTACTTATAAATGTCGGAAACTGAATTCTAAAACTGTAGATGATTTTTGCACCATGTATAACAAGTTTGCTCTGGTGAATTTGGACAGTGAGAGTTCATTATCAAGTCTGGGTTCTGATGAACTTTTCTTTTCTTTGTCCTCGACATGCACTAATATTTTAGATTTGATTGCTCCATTGAAGACAAAAAGGGTTAAATTAAAATATGAACATTGGCTGAATGAGTTCACTCATGCGCTGCGTCGATTATGCAGACGGACAGAGCGCAAATGGAGAAAGGACAGGCTTCGAGTGTCTTTTGAGATTTTTAAGGGACTGTTATTTGACTATCAGAAATTAGTTGAAACCGTGAGAGAAAAATATTTATCCACTGTTATTGAAAAAAATTTTGGAAATCCAAGGGTCCTGTTTAATACTCTGGATGCAGTGATAAATCCACTGGTTTCAGTTGGATTTGAAGTTTCTTTACAATCATGTGATAAGTTTAAAAAAATTTTTTTAGATAAGATTGTTGAAATTAGATCTTCCATTCAAGACTTTGATTATGATCAACCAGAACTCATTGAAACTGGCTCTTCTGTTTTTCATCAGTTTAAGCCAGTTTCTCTGTCAGACTTGGCAGCGATTGTAAACAATTTGAATCCCTCCACCAGCCCCCAAGATTATATTTCTGTGCGCTTTCTGAAGCAGGTATTTAATGCTATTGGTCAGAG